GTGCACATAAATTTCTTGAATTAATGCAGCTGATTCTATTAAAAGAAGATATCATATGTCTTTTAATACTGCTGATAACTATTATATGTTTAACCTTCTTTTGTTTATAATTTTATAATTTTTAGTAAACAACGAGTACCCGCTGATACTTTTTTTAAATTACTAAGATTACTAAGAATTATGCACTTGACAATATATTTTAAGATTAAAAATATTGAGGGCATTAATAATCTACATATTTTCCAATTACAATTTGGACCTTTCACTCGATAGATATGTCTTATGTGTATTTAGGCACGATAAGGTTCTTGAATGTGGTATGCATGGATGGAGAGTTACTTAAAAAATTTAAAAGTCAGCAATAACACTGAATGTACGCTGTCCGATTTCACAATCGTAACGAATCTAGGAATAGCGGATAAAGACGATATTTCTAAACTTAAATCCTTGCCGAAAAAATTAGTTTGAGTTGTTCCAATACTTCGCTACAGATTATACACGTGAATAGATAACAATCGACTAATTATCTTTAATTGTATAATATTTAAATATACTTTTAATATGTAAAATTTGTTACTTTCTGCTTACCATACTCATATTTCCTTGACATTTTATTGTGTTATTATTCCAATAAACAAAATATTAGCAGTATATCTGTAGATTAGCAGAAGATTTGATCAGAAAACTGTGGCAGATTCGTGGCCATAAATATATTATAGTGTTACGCTCGCGCGGGGAAATAAAATGAGACAACGTTAACCCATTCGAGACCGATTGCACACCCTGTGTGCAATGGATTTACGTGGCTATAAAACTGGTTGCACACCGTGTGTATAATGATAACGAAGAGCAATTATCACTCATTCTAAGTGAAATGGTCGTCGAGATAAGATTTGTTTTGTATTAAAAATATGTATGAAGTATAGAAAAACAAAATTTGGCATTGGTTTTAAACAACTTAATTGGAAAACCCCAAGACAGAAGGTCGACAACACCAGAAACAAATGACCACTTACCTGAAATTTTACGAAGGAATAAAAATAGGAAAGTACAAAGAAAGATTTGCCAACAATGCTACAAAGAAGGTAAATATAGGCGTAGTAATTACTCTTGTCCAGTTTGCGTCGGTAATCCTGGATTATGTTTGGGAGACTGTTTCAAGCGCTATCATAAACCAACCAATGTATAATTACTTTATGATCAGTGTACTATTTTCTAAAAATGTATTTACAAATTATATTTTCTTTTTCATTACTGAGTTACATTACTTTATTACTTTTAGACATTTTTCTAAAAATTTATTCCTCGTTTATAATATTTTCTTCATTATTCAATTATATTTTTTTGACTTTTTACTATTTCTTAAAAATTTTCATTGCATTATATTCTGTTCTTCATTATTGAAAGCAAAATAACGATTTTATGTTATCTAACTATTTTTGACATAAATGTTTATCAATCATAATGATGTATTTTTATTTTACTTTACATTGCACACATGGTGTTCAATTTGCTTCCCGCAATAAAAATTTTCTGAGGAGCGAGCTGCACACATGGTGTGCAATCATCTTATTTGTGCGAATTGACTTACGAATTGGATGATTTCTATAGTAAACAAGTTTTGTTATTAAAAATAAACAAAATAAAGAAAAAAAAATTCGCTCCTGGGGACCGTATTCGAAAAAATTCGCCGTCTCGAATGAGTTAAGTGGGAAACAAATTCAATTACATATTTGCTATTTAGGAAGCATGCGTAACTCGCAGACCCAAGCTCTCTCTCTCTCTCTCTCTCTCTCTCTCTCGCGAAAGACGCAAGTCACGGCGAACGTCACGGCGCACGTCACGGAGTAGGTCACGGCAACTCGACCGCGAAGGAGAGAATCTCTCAAACACGTTCTTTATCGGTAAACGCTGATCATCTGTTGTCGACGACTCGTTGTCAAAAGAATCAGCTGTACGATAAAATCAGTGCGATAAAAGCGCGGGCATCAAGACACGAGCGTAACAATATTATACTTGTGCGCAAGAATGCAAGATGTCAAAAATTAAAATACTGTTACATCATAGCATTAGAATACAATAAGCCATCAGACTGTGGATGTATAAATAGCATGAGATTACCCATTGTATGCCAGTTATGTATATTAAATCGTCTGGAATAGATCGGCAACACTTACTACTGCACTTAGTCTACTAAGGTAAATTTCTAAAAACTTCTTGATCCCGTCAACCGTAAACAATTGTGCTCTTTTACATAAATTTGTTTACAACTACACAGCGAATTATTTAAGTAATGATACTTTGTATAATGTAGTTAGTTAATGTAGTAGATTCCCTTTCTAAAATATTGAATACTTTTCTCGTGTAAATTATATCCGTTATTTCCATTTTTTTTAATCGCGTCTCACGAGGAAATAAACATTCCCAACTAATGCAGTTGCCAATATCGATCAACATGAGACGGGTGATACGTCACATAAATGATTTTTATTTTGTAGATGTTCTACTTATTACGTACATGGATCATCGTCATTAACGTTATATATTTAACAATGGATTGGATATTTTCGCTTACCCGCTATAGGAAGCCACCTAGCATACCGCCGCTAAAAGATTCTTTACTAACAATAAGTGCTGCTGAGCTCGCTCAAAAGATCAGGGATCAACATGTAATTCCATATATAGAATTACAATAACGACGATTCTTTTTCTTATTATTTTTTTAAATATTTATGATAACTTATTGCTAACTGATTATAGATATTATTCATTATACGTTACATTACAATAGTGCTTTGGACTATTAAATACATTATTAATTATTTGTAAATAATAAGATTTATAGACATTTATTGTTTAAACAAATTTAGTGCACGAGCTATCAAGTGGTGCGCGCATACATCGAACGAATCAAGGAGGTGAATCCTTACCTAAATGCCGTCGTCGAAGACCGATACGAGATCGCTTTAGCCGAGGCGAAAAATTGTGATAGATTGTTGGAAGACGGCAATATGGATATCGTAAAATTAAAAGAACAAAAACCGCTCTTCGGTATACCGTTCACTGTGAAAGAAAGTTTACCTGTTAAAGGTACGTAATCTCTTTATTGCGTTATTATTGTTTTCTTTCTTAAATTTCACTTTTTTCTCTTCACGATAATGCCAGTAATGTTTTCGTAATAAACATATCAAACGCGACCGATTCAGAAACAGTAATGTTTCAATGTAAATTATAAAATAAAATTAAACTGAACAATACAAAGATTTGTGTGTGCGCGAAAGGTGACAGCGTAAATTCTTTGTAACATGTGATGACATTAACAGGTCTTAGTCATACGGGTTGCACTTTAGCTTACAAAGGAAGGAAAGCAACCACCGATAGTTTTGCTGTCAAGATGCTGCGAGATGCTGGCGCAATACTGCTATGCGTCACCAATACTCCGGAAATGTGTAGCGGGTTGGATAGTTACAATTTTCTGTATGGTCGTTCGTATAATCCTTACGATACAAGATACACACCTGGCGGTTCGGCTGGCGGTGAGGTGAGATAATATTTAATTAATGCGATGTTTCGAGTGGGTGTTCCTGTCCAGCGCGCAGTATGTACGTATATTCGATTAAGTTTTCCGAGAATTGGAATTGTATTATTATAAATAATACACAGACTGCGCTACGCTTATTGGTAGGTTACCAATACCTGACTTTTCAATAGTATTATAAGATCCACCGGTTATCTTCAACATTATATAACCATAAAAATGACATAGCATGATCCTAGGTAGAACAAAAAATTACAAGGACGTCATAGTAATGAAAAAATGACTGTACGAACTAAGTTGACGATCATAATTTGATCGATATAATTTGATCACTTTCTTGTCCTTTATGTCATTTTGACATTACAGTGATTTTCTGTTTCATCTTGAATATGATAAAGTTATGTAATTTTTTTATTATTATGTGTATTGATGTGCTATTAACAATTTAAAATGAAATCCGTTTGCGACGTAGAGATTGACGTAGGTCAGTATATGCTCCTTGACCAACCTATGAATATTCTATTCCTGCGGAGTGCCACTTCTGAAAAACTATTTCTTATATGTGTATGTGACGTCAATTCGTTGCATCACAGATATGATTAAAATCAATGTTACATTCTCAGTCGGAAACCTTACGCTTTTATAGCAAAATCGTTTCTCTCTTTTTCTTAAATAATATATAAATTTGTAGGTAAATGAATTTATTTCAGGCCGCATTGCTCGGCGCAGGCAGTTCCTTGATCGGAATTGCCGCGGATTTCGGCGGTTCTTTAAGGGTACCGGGACTTTTCTGCGGGATCTTTGGATTCAAACCCTCGCCGAGTAAGTCGAACTATTCCTTCGTTTAAATGAAACACCTGAATTTTATTTATTTCAGATTTCTCTCACCTACTTCTTTGTTTATAATCTACTATTGAAAAGTTAGGAAGTCAAAATTCCATCATTAGAATTAATATGAACTAAATAATATTTCAAAGGAACTAAATTAATGTGTAGTAATTTTTACAATAATTTATCGTATTCTTTTTCTCATATTACAGAAGTTATTCCGAGCAGAGATCATTTTCCATCGAACAACAACGAAAATTTCGAAAATTACGTAGCGGTCGGCCCGATGACTAGGTACGCAGACGATCTCAGTCTGTTTATGAAAGTGATATCGATGAAATCCAATTGCGACTTATGTCTGGACGAGCCGGTCGATTGGAAGCAAATGAAGGTCTATTACCGAGACAGTCTGAGTAAATCATTTGGTATTTTGTCACTATCGCCGGAATTCAAACAATGCATTCTAAAAGCTACTATTCATTTTGTCGAACGCGGTGTTCATACGGAGAAGGTATGTCTTTATAATGTAGGTCCAGCACGTATCATCTGTATCCAAAATTTTCATGAATTTAATTCTAACTGTGGTTGTACAGATACCGATAGAGTGGCCTGCGCGGTTACTCGAAATGATAACGGTGCATCTTTTGGATACTGGAGAGTTTGACCTAATTATAGATGCCAAGAATCCCAAGGTGTTGATATAAACAAAATTTGTGAAATTATTCTATTTTTCTTAATCACGGGGAGACACAAACTCATATGATAATTTGGAACTGTGTTCTTTTTATTACAGCTTCGAAAGAATCCTATAGTGGAAATGATAAAAGCTATATTCGGGCAATCGCATCACACGATGTCTTTACTACATGTCCAGTTTGTAAATCATGTCTGTCATAGGATATACTCGGGAAAAGAGATATTACGTTACTATTCGCAGGGGTTTAAGGAATTTCAACAGAAGTTGCAGAAACTATTGGGAAAAAATGGAGTGTTAATTTATCCCACTTTCCGAAGCACAGCACCTTTTCCTGAACTGGCTTTAGGTGAACTACCAAATATCATACTGTATTCCTCTTTGGTTAATGTTCTTGGCTTCCCTGCAGTGCAAGTACCAATGGGGCTCAACAGCAAGGGAATGCCCATGGGTCTTCAGGTAAATAAATTGAACTTGGAATCTCAAAGAAGATGTTTAAAAAGTCTTAATCCTCTTTGGATGAGTTTGCGTTTCGATTTGAATTTATTTGGAATTATTCCTGTAACTTAGGGAAATAAGAAATGAAAATATATACCTGGTAGTATTGAAATACGGGATGAATACGCATAAATGTTCTAACTTTTTTACATGAGATATTAGTTATCGACGGCAATTGTAATTGATCAAACAGTGTGAAGAGGGCCTGCGCATATCTCTCGGTTTCAACGGATTAATGAATGTCTGGAAAAATAGAAATTTTTCGAACATTTATTTTTCATAATTACATATGCTGGCAAAGTTGTCTGTAAATCATAAAAAGTAAATTATTCATTGAACGATATATTAAAAAATTTTAGGTGATAGCTGCGCCATATCAGGACCGTCTCTGTTTGGCTGTTGCAAAGGAGTTAGAGATGGCCTTCGGTGGTTGGGTACCGCCTTCGATATCAACAATAAACAATTAAGAGATTATCGATATCTCTTAATATATTATTCTTTTCTTTTTATCTGCTGCTTCTATTCACATACACGCACTCGCTAGCAAATTATTGGTCTATCCTTCTTAGCTGACTGTATGCATTAATTAAGAAAATGTATAATATATTAAAACTTATGAAGCTTATGTACGAGATTGTCATGCTTTAATGCACATAAATTTCTTGAACTAATGCGCTGATTCTGCTAAAAGAAGAAATCTTATCGTTAGTGAAGAGCGTTAATCTGTTATCTCCGTTTCACAAAACTTTACAGGAGCGTCAAAAATATGAATAAATCATTTTATACACACTTCACAAAATAAAACTGACCATCATCTTTTAGTTTTTGATTATTTTTAACTAAAAAATATGAATTTATTAAATGCTCCAATTTTATGAGATTTTATTAAGAAAGAAAGGTGTAAGGAGTTTATATTTATTTTGAAAATGTTGCGTTTTTGTAGTTAGCAGGTTTTCCAAGATGCACGTCGTGAAGAAAAAAGACTAGTTTTAGTATAAAATCCATTTTATTTGAGAAACAATAAGTAGTAAATAAATAAATAAATATGATAGAAAAAAGATGAAGTCATTCATGAGGTAAATTATCATAAAAAATACGATAATCTTCTGGCAATATCATTTTGATTGATTGTAAATCTTCAAATTTACGTGCAGTAATGGAAAGTCTATTTGAATGCAATTGTTTCAATTTTCCAAATTCTTTATGTTCTACGTTGCCTTTTCTTTGCGGTAGTAAAGACCAATCTTCATTAAACCTTAATTTATATGTCTCCTTCTGGTGTATACCTTAATGCTCGGAGGTCCGTTACTTTTGGATCGCCTTTTTTTTCCGGGCCTTATACTGCTATAACTCATGACATCAGAGAAATTTTTGAAGAATTTGTGATCCTGATACGAAACATTGTATTCAGAAGGCTTTTTTCGAACAGTTTTGCAAATATTAAAATTATCTGCTGGAACATTTATAATCTTATTTCTTAAAGCTCGTTCCATAGCTGAATGCATGCTGTCGGTTTCCATTTGTGTGTGTCCTACTTCGAGGAATTTCTGTCCAATTGTAATGTTCCTAATGACGGCTAAGTTTAGTTAAGTTTAGCAACGCATTAGACGTAATAGCATTTCGGTTTTGATAAACGCACCTGTCGCTGTATATAATAATTTTTTTATCCTACTGGTCATTTTTCATAACCGTTAATAATTTTTCTTCTAAAAAATGTATCCATATGGAAGCAAATTCTTCAGAATTCAAGGAGCCTTCCGTTTCGTTCCATAAAAAGCAAAACCCGTCGTTGTCAATCAAATTAAAAAAACATAAATTATGAACTTGCAATTTAGTTTTGTAATACAAAGTGCAAATATTAGATTTTGGAGCCATTAAAACTGCCTGAAGATATACAGTGAGAACTGCCTGAAGATCTACACGAAAACGTAAGATTCTGTTGACGTGTCACTTTCCTTTTTTTTTCTCGCATTATTGCATCAGCTTACGGAGTTAACAGTTCTTCGGGCGCACTTTCCTCCAAGAGGAGATAGCAGGTATTATTGACGCCATAAATAAGCATTTTTTAATGAACATTGGATATAGCTGTTTTTTTATTAGAATCAGTTTTGTTTTTATAATTCTAACAGTACAAAATACATTTTTGGCCTAAAAATGGAGTTAGCAGGTTAACACTCTTCACCGACGGTATGTCTTTTAACACTGCTGACATATGTTACATTTTTAACCTATTTTTGTTTATAATTTTAAAAATTTTGAATAAATAACGAATACCCGCAGATACTTTAGATTACTAAGATTACTAAGAATTATGCACTTGACAATATTTTTTTAAGGTTAAAAATATTGAGGGCATTAATAATCTACGTATTTTCCAATTACAATTTGGACTTATCACTCGATAGATATGTCTTATATATATTTAGGCACGATACGTTCCTGAATGTGGTATGCATGGATGGAGAGTTACTTAAAATACTTAAAAGTCAGCAATAACACTGAATGTACGCTGTCCGATTTCAGTATAGTAACCAATCTAGAAGCAGCGGATAAAAACGCTATTTCTAAACTAAAATTCTTGGCGAAAAAATTAGTTTGAGTCGTGTCAATACTTCGCTACAGATTATATACGTGAACAGATAACAATCGACCATTTATCTTCAACTGTATATAATATTTAAATATA